ACAGTTTAGGAGTAGGGTTTACAAAGAAACCTTCAAAGGAATCCTCTAACCCTAAACCCTAAACCCCTAAACCCCTAAACCCCTAAACCCCTAAACCCCTAAACCCCTAAACCCCTAAATACTAAACCCCTAAACCCCTAAACTCCTAAACCCTAAACCCCTAAATACCAAACCCCTAAACCCCTAAACTCCTAAACCCTAAACCCCTAAATACTAAACCCCTAAACCCCTAAACCCCTAAACTCCTAAGCCCTAAACCCCTAAATACTAAACCCCTAAACCCTAAACCCGAAACCGTGAACTCTCATAGAAGCCTCGCAGAGCCCTTAGAAAACCGTTACAGAACCATCATAGAACCTTTTGAAAACTTCGATTCCGGGTTTAGGGTTTAGGGTTTAGGGTCCATGGAGCCCAGGCCCAAACAACGAGAAGAGAGTGCCCTGCACAGCACCAACTCATTCAGACCCAAAGGCCCTGCAATAGAGACGCCGGAGTAATATAGGGGCCTTCCTAAACCCTAAACCCTAAACCCTAAACCCTAAACCCTAAATAGAATTAGGGGCTTATGTTGGGCTCTAGGGTTTTCGGGTTTAGGGTTTAGGTGTAATGTAGGGGCCTTGACAATTGGAATAGGGTTGTGGGGTGGGTTTAGGGTTTAGGGTTTAGGGTTTAGGGTTTAGGGTTTAGGGTTTAGGGTTTAGGGTTTAGGGTTTAGGGTTTGGGGGGGCACATTATACTATTTTCATGACAAGGAACCACAAATATAGAATTTTGGTAATTATTTAGGCCCCTACATGAATCAGGCTTGTTATTCCGATGAAAAATTTGTTACACTGTATGACGTACCCCCCCAAGGCCTCCTCGAAGTATTGGGCCACCTACCACAGAATCCTAAGTTCTGCATGAGTGTTCCTTCTAGGAGTTGGAGCTGGTTGTCAGTGACATCACTCTTCTTTAGCTGTCAATCTCATTAAACCCTACCTACTACGATCCATCCTAGACCCTAGACCCTAAACCCAACGACCCAAGGACACCCACAACAAAATGCTTTGCCCGCCAGCCGTTGAGTTATCCCTTTGAGGAGCTGGCGCCATGTCGCAGCAGGCAGGCCGATGGATTGAAGCCAGAGGTTAAGCCCCCCAACTGGTATAGGGAACTAGTCCTCATAAACCCAAAAGTCTTATGCAATCCCGCTCCATCTTCGAACTTCATCATGCTTTGTGAAAGGCTCGTTTGGCGTTTCAGTGTGTTTTTTGGATTCAGAAATTTTTCAGCAAACCAGTATTTCTCAACCGGTTTCTGGGTTTGGGGCTGCGGACCTAAGCGTCGGATTGTGGACGGTTCGGGTAGGCAGGTCGATTTAAGGTTGGACAAAGAGGCCCTCGAAATCCTACCCTGAAGCCCTGTAGGGTTTATAGGGTTTACTGTAGAGTCTTCAAGGTCGCTTTCAGGTGCATGCCTAGGTGCGTCTAGCCCTCCTTCAAAAGGGTGCAGTCTGTAGATCGTACAGCAACCCTGAGAATGTATGTGTAGAGGAAGTACGTCCAAGATCTCCGTGAAGAAGGCTGGCAGCTAAACCCACACGCCGAGAAATCAACACTCGACGGCCTAGCTTCATGTTGTTTTGCTCGCAGGCCCCATAGTTCTCAATCGAGATCTCTTTGGAAGTAAACCCCTAAACCCTAAACCCTAAAACCCCACAGTTTTTTTGCCCTAAACCCTAAACCCTAAACCTACAGACTTGTGTTGGACGCTTCAGGAGCACCTTGCTTTAGAACAGCCCGAAAGGCATGGGTCGGTTTTGTAGTAAGCAAGTATTGCTGATGGACAAAATGGAGCATCACCGTAAGTAACCCGTTTAGGGTTTAGGGTTTAGGATTTAGCGTCTGTGAGAAGTATGCTTTTGTTTCATCCTCGATTATGCAGGGTTTCGTCGATCACTTGCAGGGTTTGCGCCAACGGCCGTGCCGGAAGGATCAACAACAACGATAAACAATCCGGTTGTGCCAAGAAGACAGATAGCTGAAACACACTACCGTTCCCGGCAATCGCTTTCAATTTCTTCGTGAATGGGGAGTTTTGTTTCGTCAGCGAGCCCGAAAAAAATGCAGCCTAGTAGACCTCACAACCCCAGACCCTAAGCCCTGAACCTAAACCCTAAAACTTAAACTGAAAGCCCTGAACCCTGAACCCCAAAACCTCAACCCTACGCCCTGAACCCTGAACCCTAAATCCCCGAACCCTAAGACACTTCGGAGACGGATGGCAGGAAGAGAGGCACCATGCAGCCGAGGCTTTGGGGTTTAGGGGTTTAGG